TGGATGTGGCTGTAGCTGTTCATTGCCGAGACATCATTCTTCCTCTCGGTTTGCTTCTCTTGTTTGCAGCATGTGTGCTTCTTCTTCTTTGCTTGGACAAGCTGCTGGATGTGCTTCCATTCTAAGATCATTGATTTTCCTTCTTGTGATATGAAGTTGGACGGAAGTTGTACTCTTCAAAATGAGAAATATATGTGTGAATACGTAGGTGGCAACTGCTAGATGTTCCCTTCTTGTGCCGTGGCATTCCCCTTAGCATTTTGGAATCCATTATGAGCTTTCAATCAACCAAGTGGTGGCCCCCTCCATTATGCTTCACGGTTTACTACATCCTTTCCTAAGCCAAAGAAAATTCTCGCGGCTCCCACTTTGATTCCATCCAAAACTTTGCTTGTAAAATGAATTATTCATGGGCCCATTATAATTGGAAGATGACTACCGTGAGTGGGAATTGTGGCAGCTCCTTTTGCACAATAGAAAAATCACATATGTTACCTATATAAAACAAAATGTAAGCTTCATTTCAAAGTGGCCCCTCCATGGTTGCAATGGCAGTACTACATTCTCTTAAACCAAAGAAAACGTGAACTATGGTGGTCTTTTGTTTCAAGTGTTTCCTTCTCAACGAGATGCTTTCAATGTTTTGCCAAAACTGTGATATGAACTGTTGAATCCTTGTTTAAGAGTGTTGGGAGGTCTTAGCACCATATAATGATCAATTCCAGCCACCACAAGTACCAAACAGCAAGCAAACAATGCAAACAGATTAGAAGTACTCAAACAATAAACACTAGACTGACATAGGGGAGTAAAACAAATACTGGGAACAACACATAATGAATTTGAACAAAATAAAAACTATACATGAAAATAGACATCTAGACGAAACTATGAAAAAAAATTGCATGGAAAACGGATAAGAATTGAACTCAAAAGAAGACACACAAGTAGACACAACATTCAAGCAGCACTGTGCGAAAATTGAAATGACTGAGATGCATTGGGCTCAATTGCCATTTCTCATTTAACCTTCAAATGTTCCAAATTGTATTTCCAAAATTTTTCCTGCAATTACTAATGCAAATAATTAGCTCAGATAATTCAAATTAATTAAAATAAGAATTTCTGATCGAATTAAGCGCAATCAAGAAAAATGGGAAAATACTAGACAATTAAGCAAAATTCCCTGATTAATTTTAGTACAATAAACTAAGTGAAGTGAAGAAAATATTGACTCATCACAACGGCAGGCACCAAAGTATGTACTTAGGGTGCCTGCTAAACTACCTACCACTGCTGCCCCCAGTCCATCATCTGTGGGGCCTCCTCCTACACCTACAATACAGCCTCTTACCCCTGCAGTAGACCCTACTCCTACCTTTGCAATACATCCTTCTCCTACTCCTGTAGTACACCCTTCTCCTACCCCTACAACACACCCTTCTCATACCCCTACAGTAGATCCTCTTCCTCCTCCTGTGATTATAACCCTCACTCCTCCCCATGTGCTTATTACCCCACTCCTCCCCTTGACTCTACTTCTATACCTTCCTCATCTTGTATATTGTCTTCTGAGACTGTCACACAATCTACTGATCCAGATTCAACTGGTGATGGTGAAGGTATTGACCCACCCCTCCATGATCGACCATGGATTGAGCCATATGGTAAAGGGTAAGATTTTAACCCCCTTTTTTAGTCATTTTGATGTTTACAGATTGCATTAATTCAAATGACTTTTATTATGTAGGTTTATTCCATCTAGGGTTGCTTCCCAGGCCATCACACGTTCAATTTTAATATGTTCATTAATCAATGTTTGTTCTGTTTAATGTTATAGATGAAGGTGTAGTGGAAACCTGAACACGAAACACAAATACAAAGAAATTTCCACATGAAAGCATCTCATCGGTTGTCAGAGATGTTTAGGGATGCCCGCAATGCAGGAGAGGTTATGTTAAACTTTCATTACTTTTCTGTTTCTTTCATATATAAGTTATGTATTTTCTATTTCATATGTACACTTGTAACTCTAAATTATGTTACAAGCACAAGCTTTGGGACGAGCGGTCCATGTTGATGAGGTCTTTGCACATACTCATGTTCGGAAGACACTAATGAATTTGTTGATGAAAGATCTCGGAAGACACATGTAAGCAAATAACATTATTACTATTAGTAATTTTTCATTTATGTTATTATATCATTCCCTAACATTGCTTTTAATGTTTGAACAAAAAGAATTTTCTATGAGACTTTCACAGGTTAGATCTGAACATGAGTCAGCTCCTACACCGGATGATGTGAGTAATGTAGAAGACAACATCCGTAGGACACAGTGTTGGGTCGACATCGTTGGTGGGAAGAAAAAGGGACGAGTGTACGGTGCAGGACAACTTGCTGCAAACTGTACAACATCGAGGGAGGTACTCTGAAGCACTAACCTTCTTCTTCCACCACTACTACAGACGAGGCTGTTGTCCGCCTCACGCAGGCACTGAAGCAACGTGACCAGGAAATCACTGATTTGAGAGCATAGTTTAGAAACTTTAAGGCCCTGATCATGAGAGTGTTGCATGAAACTTCACAGGATCAGTTCATTATCCCTCCGACCCAGCCACGACTCTCTCCGTCACCCGCTGTCCCTCAGCAGCCCACATCAGTCCAACCCAGACCAGTCCAGCCGTCTATAGAGGAGCAGGATGATGAAGATCATTTTGATGGTAACTATGTACATTATTAGTTTTATTTTGTTATTAGTTGTTATAGAAACATTTGGATATTATAACATTTGGAGTTTAGATCATTTGGATGTTAGATCAATTGGATGATTTGGATGTTAGAACATTATGTTAGATTGTTTTATGTTTTATTTATAAATACATGTTCTATGGATGATTGGATGATTCAGATGTTATATTGTTTTTCTGATCAATGATTGCATGATTGAGATGCACATTATGAAGGTCTGTATGTGGTTGAAAAATGTTATGCAGGTCTGTTTGTGTTGTGAACAATTTAATAGGGAAGCAAATAAGTGTACTCTATGTTGTTTGATTAGAAAAAAGAATAATGGGTAAAGGTTGGAGTTGTAATAAATTAACTGAAGTGTTAAATAACAAAAAGGAACAAACTTTGGAAATTAGAAAGGTCGCTATAGGATAATGTATATACCTTAATATTAAGGTACAAATGTTTTCTCTGTGTAACTTTAGTTGAAACGTGAAGTGGCATGACAATATATTTGAATTCATTGTGATTAAGAACTAGTCTAGTCATTTGTAATATCTTGGAACTAACTTGGCTTGAATTGTAATTAAGCATAATATATGTGAAAGAGAAAATTATGTATTATGAAGGTGTGTCCCTATGTTTTAATCTATGCATTAGACTAATAAGAATGTACTAGAAATAAGAATGAATATATTGTAGAATAACTAATTGACTATAAATTCAAAGTGAATTAAAATTGGTTAGAATGAGTAAAGGGATAGTACTTTAAATATTTCTAAATTAATTATGATTGTATCCTTTATAATTTCATAATGGTGGTTGTTATTACTATCAAATAACTTGTCCAAGTGATTATTAGCATTGAAAGCAAATTGGAATAATTTGGTGCTTGGGTTGTGGTTTGCATTTTTTTTATAATGTAATTCTGGAAAATAATAGGAATTATGGTTAATGTCTTACGAAATTGTCAGAGTTTATATTTTATTAATTAAATGCTTTATATATAGCAAATAACTAGGAATGTTATGGTTATTGTTTGGATAAGGAATATATGAACTATGATGTGTTAGAATGATTATTAACGGAACAAATCATGATTCGGTGATGAACTAGCTTTAGAGGAAACTTGGATTTTATAGAATGTTATGTTGTTTAAATTATTCGTATAGCTATGAACAATGGGTGAATGTTGCATATGTATTAGGATTGAGGAATTATGACGTTCATGCTTATATAGTGTAACTAGGCAATTAAAGTAGTATGCTTAACAGGTTTTCTGGTTATCTATGTTAAGCTGCTAGAATTAACTAGTTAGTATTATTTTCTAAATTGACTGGTATAGTTATGTGTTTGGTGAGTTTCCATGTTTTATCATGTTATAAGGTATATATATATTTGTTTAATTGTGACTTGAGTTCGAAATTTGCTCAACAATAGTGTGTTACTAATTTTCGGTGTCCATAAGGAGTAGATTAATTAGGAGGGATACTTCTAAATGATAAATTGCTAAAAGTCTTGTGCTTTGAGGTGGTAAATGTGGAGGTAAGAGGAAGAGACTTAAACCAAAATGGGTGATTACACTACAAAAATAATGTATTATAATAGGGGTTTATCTCCTGCGGCTTTGAGAACCTCGAGTAATTTTCAGCTTAATTGTTAAAAAAATAATTTGCACGACTTTCATCTGTTTCCTTTTTTCCATTTTCTATTTCCCTCTCCATTGTCTTCACACTTACCATTTCCTTATGTATCTGTAGGTCTGCCTGGGGTTTCTGATTTTGCAGGTTTCCATAGAAGCTCGAAGAAGATGAAGGCGCGAGAGGCGCTGTTTGCGGTGGATTACATGGAAGAGTTGTAGTGGTCCGGCGACGTGGAGAAACTCGCGATTAAGGTCCGCGAATTTGGGGTTGAACATTTGCCTGAGTTAGGGTTATCGTGATTAGGGATTTTTCTGGTCTTTGATTTGGGGATTTTCGCAGGTTCTAATTTTTTCTCACGGTGGCTTGCAGTGGTGAAAATGTTGGGTGTAGTCGCGTTTAGTTTATATTGCTTGTTGGTGGAGCAAATGCAAGTACTGGTGAAGGAACTGAGGAAGCTCAACAAACTCTCTATATTCTTGATGTCTTGAAAGAATGTCTTCCTTTTTTTGTCACGGAAATCTAAGACCAGCATTCTTAATTACTTCAAATATCTCTTGGATCTGCATTTACCCCTAGTCACAAGGCACATTACAGATGGTTTGAGTTTTCTTTGTCACTATCCACTGNTGTGGTGATTGATAAGTTTGTTCTTGCACCTATTAATATCGGGTAATACTTTACTTTACAACTTTCTCAACAATGTATTATTTTCAAAGTTTGATGTACGAATTCTAATTTTGTTGATTCATTTCAAATTGTAGTCAACATTGGGTCTTCCTGGGAACCAATCTTAAACTAGAGATAATTCATTATCTTGACCCAGTGGCAGTGTAAACATTAATATGAGGCAACATTTGAAAAAATTGTTTGACATGTAAGAATATACGTGTTGTATACTTTTAGTTGACATATTTGTATACTTTTAGTTGTGTTGTTTTTACTTATACATGCTTTAATTTTATTTCTTCACTAGGGTTATACAAACCTATCGAACTCAAACAGGAAACATGGTTTCAAAGTCTAAGTCAAACAATATCAAGTGGACAACAATTAAGGTACATTACTCTAGTATGTTTTGTGTAGTGTAGTCTTGATTGTGATAATTAAATTGTTGAATGACCTTATGTGACTGTTAGTTCACATTATGGCTGCTTGTATCGTATTGATTAGGTGAATAACTTGTATTCTTGAATGGTTGAAGACTTATTTCCTTGTTGCATGGTAATGGTTAGTTAAATAACATGTATTATTGTGAAATTGGTTGGAGGAGTATATGGTTGTTATGAAAGCATAACTTATTATTAAGAGTTTAAACTTGTGTATGGTATATAGTTATTTGTTATCAAGCATTGAATCTGTTTGGAGTATACTAGAGTTTTGGTTCTTTTTTATGTTCAAATTATAAAAATGTTTTTTTAATTTTGGAATTCTAGTGCCCAAGACAACCCAACGACAATGATTGTGGGTATTACGTGTGTCAATATATGAAGGAAATTATTACATATTATGAAGGAGGAAAAATTCCAACTGATGTAAGTTATCTTTATCGTCATAATTAATTGTAGTAATATTTAATTAACTAATTCTATATTATTTTTCTAGTTTCAGGTCAGCCTCCATGCCTTCAGTGACGGTGTTGGTTCATCCACCATACGTCTCCAAGGGAAAATCGGCAACAATCATGTTTCTATTCTCGTTGACGGTGGTAGTGACCACAATTTTGTTCAAGATCGGGTAGTCAAATTCCTAGATCTCCCTTCAATCCCTTACAACCCCCTGACCGTTATGGTTGATAGCACGTGCAATGACATATGACTTGACACTGACATGTGGTACTGTTAGCTTAATACATGACAACTTTTTTTTTTAATTTTAAAAAAAGACCACAAACTGACATGTGATACTTTTTTAACGGTGTTAGTATGAAGGAACTAATGATAATGACCTAATCGCTTCAATTTTTCAAAAATAGACCCAATTGAGAAAAAAAAAAGTAAGAGACATATTTAAGAAAAGTCACCGAAAATAAGAACAATCTCAATTATTAAACCTTTATTTTATCAACTAGGAAAAACTTCTTTAATATAAAAGTTTAATTTTTTTTATGAAATATAAAATTTATACTAAAAAAATCTAATATTTGTGATTTTTATTTTTTATTGATATATTTATTGTTATTTTAGGTTTTAAAAATAATGCTGCAATTTTATTTTATTTTTTTGTAATTTTCCATTTTTAAAGACTTATAACGTGATTTGTTTTTAGATAAGACTGGTTCTATTATTAATTTCAAAGATATGTTTAGTATTTAAAGTTTTAAAATATTTTTGGAATGCTTTTTTCGTAATTTTTCATTTTTAAAGACTTATAAACACAACTTTATACATTATTTTGATATTTTTCATCTAAATATTTTAATTAATCTTTTACATTCACTATTTTAGATTTATAGATCTTCAACAAAATATTTTAAAAAATTAAAGGAAAGATTTTTTAAAAAGTAAAACATGTATACTTAGTTGAAGTTCTCTTATGAATTCTATCAAACATAAATATTTAATATTAAATCTCGATATTCATACTCATAAAATAGTTTTAAAAAACTATAACCCTTACACGGGAACAATACAATAACCAGTTATCACAAATGTGTGATCATCATCCTTTCTTAGTTTCCCAAACGTGGCACCATTTTGGCTTCGGTTTTTCATCACTTTCAAGACATCGCCTCAAACAACCTGTGTCTTCCAACATCATCGAATCCAACTATTAAGAAGCCCTTATGCAACATAACCAACTTTTCTAAACTCCAAACAACCTTATCTCTGTATCTATTCCTTCTTCTTAAGCTAAAATGGTGGTAACTAAGGCATTGTTACCTTCTCATCCACACCCTCTATGTTCCCTTCCAATTTCTCCCAAAACCAGAGGCCTCACACTCCACCAAGTAGACCCTTTGGTGAGGTTCAAGTTGGATGAGAGAAAGCAAAGGAAACATGTGGCTCATGTGTCACTCCATGACCCTTTGGTTTCTTCTTATGCTCTTGCTGACTTCTTCATCCACCAACACCAGCNTTATAAGGTAATAGGAGAAGTGGTGTTTTTTATTTGATTTGGGTTAAAGTAAACAGTGGTTACATGGTGGAACAATTGGAAAGTACTCATAACTAAATTAAAGCTACAATAATATTACCACACAGTACCACCTTACTGCACATTCCTCTTTGATTAGCCACCTGAAGAAACTAATTTAGTAGACTAATATATATATATATATATATATATATATATATATATACACATAAAGAAAAAAATTGAATGGTAATTAAGAGTTACACCTGTGAAAGTTGTGATTACATATTATGAGTAATGTGTTAATCGATTTAAGTTGTACTCTAACCTAAGACTTTAAGAAAAGAGAGTGGATGAGTGGTAGAATAGATAAGTACTTAGGGAGTATGCAATGAGTTTAAATGTTTGATTGATGAGTGTTGGTGTTGGGCACAATAAATAGTTTTTACAGAATGCATAGGATATGTTCAATGTATTCCAGTTTACATATATTTGGTATTAAACTATTTTTGGATTGTTCAAATTTGTTTGGCATTAGTTTTGACAATTAAATTATTGTTTGATAATACTTGGGTAAAATTGAAATCGGTTAATGAGTGTAACGTTGCAACTGATGTGATTTGGCATTGAAAGATAACTAATGTGCAACTCTGATGCTCTTTTATGGTGTTTCATAACTGTTGGACTGATTGTATTGGTATACTCTAGAAAGAATAAGCTAAGTTGTATATGGATTACTTAATTTTTTTGATAAATTTGTGTCTTCTCTGTTTACTTAATGATGTTGGATTAATGAATGGTTATTATGGTATCTGATATGATATACATGCTTAGTGGTAAAATGTGTTTTCATGTTACTTGACTTGAATTCTATTTGGTGTTTTAAGTTTGTATAGACCGCTTGTGATTTGAAATTGAATTTTATAAATTGGCTTAGCTTAGTGCATGTACATTCCTGCATACTACTTCAGAATAAAACCTACTCAAAACACTTTCTTTCTTTGCACTCTCTAACGTAAGAACCAACTCAATCTCCCTTCCTTCTCCAACTTTACGTAGCCCTTGGAAAACATAATAGAACCCATGCATGCACATTTCACGTGTACCCCTACAGCCCCTGCATGGCCAGTTTTCACCCAACAAAATAAAATGTACCTACATGGCCAGTTTTCAGTTATTGATATTTAGCTAATTTGATCTTTTTCACAATAATTAGATAAAGGATTCGGGATCAAATGTTAATAAATTCTCCGTCAAGAATTGTAGAAGCATGGTCGTGTGAACAAAAGCGAGGCAATTGAAAACGAAGAAACTCAGCAAGTTTGGGACAAATGTATAAGTAATATGTTTTCATATTATATTTGTGTGTATGAAATGAGAATAAATGTGATAGGTTTGGTTCTTGTTTAGGTTCAATTGTCACAAACTAATTCAGAAGAGATGAGTAATGATCACTCCGACATTCTAAGTCAAGCTTTATGTCTCCCAGAGTATCCAAGTCGTGTTAGGGGAATGAGATTTGGAGTCGGTCATAGAGATTATTTCCCATCCAAAAAGCGTCATATGCACCATGAGCATGATAAATTAACTGCTCAAGTAAAAGACATGTTGGAAAGAATGACACAAATGGAAAATGATATGATTTCGCATCGAAAATTGGCACACCAAATACTACTGAAGAAGCTAACATTAATAGTGGCCAAGGGAGTTGCACATTGTCATCAAATAGTTTTCCCGAGGTAACGAACTTATCTATATTACTTTCATTATCACTTTAATTTGCTTACTTTAAACTTTCATAGGTCTTCATATCTAGTCACATTGAAGATTGTTTTATAATTATGTTTTATAATGTAAGGGGTCTCGAGTTGTAAATTTTTTACATTATCACCATCACTTTGCTTGGTTGCCCATGGAAAATTGCATAATTTTAAAAGTGATACACTACATGGTAGACCTCTACCTAAGGGACATGTCAAAGTTAGTATAAATATTGCTTTGGAGCCAAATGTATCGTTGTCTATACCAATTGATGATGATGACATGATGGCAATAGGACAAGCAATAGGTACATTTGTGGCATGGCCAATGAATTTCATACAGATTAGTGATGAGGTATGTTTATACAATTGTATTCATTCATATTTATGAACATATTTTATCTATTACCTAACTTGTTTAATTGATGATGTTTTAGGATTCTACTCAACCTAAAAAGAAAAAGATGAATGATACAAATGAATGTGTCTCACACCTAAAAAAATGTCAAGGGAAAATGACCATTCAACATACTCCTCGTACACTGTTTCATCTCCAATCTTTCTGAATGGTGCAATTGTCTCTCTTCATACATGAAACTAAAGCCATCAGAGTCACTTCCTCCAATACAAATGGACAAAAACATATTTGGACTAGATAATCATAAAGAAATCGTTAATGCAGAAATTATTGAAGAAGTTACTAACTATGCATGGCTAGGTGCAACTACAATTTCTATATATATCGGGTAAAATATATAGTACATTTTATCATTAACTTCATTATTATATTGACACTTTTATCATATTGCTAATACATTCTTATATTTTTCTTTTAGAAGGTACCTATATCAAAATTTTGTCAAGCCAAATGATAAGGCATTCTTTTTTTTATCACCCCAAATCACAACACATGAGCTACCAATGAAAGACAGAATGCAAAAAATAGTTACTCTTTTTCTTGATAATGTGGTGATTGATAAGTTTGTTCTTGCACCTATTAATATCGGGTAATACTTTACTTTACAACTTTCTCAACAATGTATTATTTTCAAAGTTTGATGTACGAATTCTAATTTTGTTGATTCATTTCAAATTGTAGTCAACATTGGGTCTTCCTGGGAACCAATCTTAAACTAGAGATAATTCATTATCTTGACCCAGTGGCAGTGTAAACATTAATATGAGGCAACATTTGAAAAAATTGTTTGACATGTAAGAATATACGTGTTGTATACTTTTAGTTGACATATTTGTATACTTTTAGTTGTGTTGTTTTTACTTATACATGCTTTAATTTTATTTATTCACTAGGGTTATACAAACCTATCGAACTCAAACAGGAAACATGGTTTCAAAGTCTAAGTCAAACAATATCAAGTGGACAACAATTAAGGTACATTACTCTAGTATGTTTTGTGTAGTATAGTCTTGATTGTGATAATTAAATTGTTGAATGACCTTATGTGACTGTTAGTTCACATTATGGCTGCTTGTATCGTATTGATTAGGTGAATAACTTGTATTCTTGAATGGTTGAAGACTTATTTCCTTGTTGCATGGTAATGGTTAGTTAAATAACATGTATTATTGTGAAATTGGTTGGAGGAGTATATGGTTGTTATGAAAGCATAACTTATTATTAAGAGTTTAAACTTGTGTATGGTATATAGTTATTTGTTATCAAGCATTGAATCTGTTTGGAGTATACTAGAGTTTTGGTTCTTTTTTATGTTCAAATTATAAAAATGTTTTTTTAATTTTGGAATTCTAGTGCCCAAGACAACCCAACGACAATGATTGTGGGTATTACGTGTGTCAATATATGAAGGAAATTATTACATATTATGAAGGAGGAAAAATTCCAACTGATGTAAGTTATCTTTATCGTCATAATTAATTGTAGTAATATTTAATTAACTAATTCTATATTATTTTTCTAGTTTCAGGTCAGCCTCCATGCCTTCAGTGACGGTGTTGGTTCATCCACCATACGTCTCCAAGGGAAAATCGGCAACAATCATGTTTCTATTCTCGTTGACGGTGGTAGTGACCACAATTTTGTTCAAGATCGGGTAGTCAAATTCCTAGATCTCCCTTCAATCCCTTACAACCCCCTGACCGTTATGGTTGATAGCACGTGCAATGACATATGACTTGACACTGACATGTGGTACTGTTAGCTTAATACATGACAACTTTTTTTTTTACTTTTAAAAAAAGACCACAAACTGACATGTGATACTTTTTTAACGGTGTTAGTATGAAGGAACTAATGATAATGACCTAATCGCTTCAATTTTTCAAAAATAGACCCAATTGAGAAAAAAAAAAGTAAGAGACATATTTAAGAAAAGTCACCGAAAATAAGAACAATCTCAATTATTAAACCTTTATTTTATCAACTAGGAAAAACTTCTTTAATATAAAAGTTTAATTTTTTTTATGAAATATAAAATTTATACTAAAAAAATCTAATATTTGTGATTTTTATTTTTTATTGATATATTTATTGTTATTTTAGGTTTTAAAAATAATGCTGCAATTTTATTTTATTTTTTTGTAATTTTCCATTTTTAAAGACTTATAACGTGATTTGTTTTTAGATAAGACTGGTTCTATTATTAATTTCAAAGATATGTTTAGTATTTAAAGTTTTAAAATATTTTTGGAATGCTTTTTTCGTAATTTTTCATTTTTAAAGACTTATAAACACAACTTTATACATTATTTTGATATTTTTCATCTGGCATTCCACTATTTTAGATTTATAGATCTTTCAACAAAATATTTTAACAAATTAAAGGAAAGATTTTTTAAAAAGTAAAACATGTATACTTAGTTGAAGTTCTCTTATGAATTCTATCAAACATAAATATTTAATATTAAATCTCGATATTCATACTCATAAAATAGTTTTAAAAAACTATAACCCTTACACGGGAACAATACAATAACCAGTTATCACAAATGTGTGATCATCATCCTTTCTTCGTTTCCCAAACGTGGCACCATTTGGCTTCGGTTTTCATCACTTTCAAGACATCGCCTAAACAACCTCGTGTCTTCCAACATCATCGAATCCAACTATTAAGAAGCCCTTATGCAACATAACCAACTTTTCTAAACTCCAAACAACCTTATCTCTGTATCTATTCCTTCTTCTTAAGCTAAAATGGTGGTAACTAAGGCATTGTTACCTTCTCATCCACACCCTCTATGTTCCCTTCCAATTTCTCCCAAAACCAGAGGCCTCACACTCCACCAAGTAGACCCTTTGGTGAGGTTCAAGTTGGATGAGAGAAAGCAAAGGAATCATTGGCTCATGTGTCACTCTCATGACCCTTTGGTTTCTTCTTATGCTCTTGCTGACTTCTTCATCCACCAACACCAGCAAAACCCTATAGTCTTGTATTCTTGGCTGATAGTGTGGGCTACCTTTGGCTAGCTATTACACTTCTTTGGGTCTCTTGTCATCTCTGTGCCTGGCCTTTGGTCCCTCATTAAACGTTCTGTCAAGTCTAAGGTAATTTCCATGTTTATTTGTTAGATTTTGTTTAAGAAATGCTAGCAAAACTCTTTTTTTCAATGCATTTCTTAATCGTTCTAATTTGTGTTAGTCCTTAATTAACTGTTTTAGTCTCTATAATTTCGCATGACAGAGGTAATACAGATTAAGAAACATGTTTGTAAAAACACTAAATGACTAATTTTTAAGTTTAGAAACTAGGACATAAAAAGTGTAAACAAAAAGAATAGATGAGTTGTTAAACCTACCAAAAATTACAATTTTATACGTCTTGTTATCTCATATTTGATAAGCCCTGTTTCTGATTTTGTTTAGTTTTCAATCAATTTATCAAAACCAGCACTTTTTTTTGTCAGGTTTTTGCCTTTTTTTGTTGCATTGA